GGGCGGCTCCGGAGGCCTCCACGCGGATCTGCGATCAGCTGGTGATGTCTGCCCTGGGTGTGTGCGAGGACGCAGCCGCACGTGTCGCCAGCAATTTCCACCTGAGATGCTTTCTCCGTCGCAGGCACCTATGTGATGACGGTCACGGCCAATGACGCTGACGACAGCACCACGGCCAACGGGATGGTGCGGTACCGGATCGTGACCCAGACCCCACAAAGCCCATCCCAGAACATGTTCACCATCAACAGCGAGACGGGGGACATTGTGACGGTGGCAGCTGGCCTGGACCGAGAGGTGAGGTGGGCGTCGCGGGGCCGGGGAGTCCGTGTGGGAGAGGCCGCCCTGGCCCCGGTCGTGTCCCCAGAAGACTCATCTCCTACTGCGCCTGGTGGGGGGGGGTGGGAGGACCGGGGTCTCCACAAAGCAGTTCCCAGTAGATCGTGGAGCTGGGCCCACGTGCGGTTTCCAGAACAGGCCCAGCTGGATGTGTGGGGCCGAGGGGCCCAGGCTCCAAAAAGCGGGGGTGAACCTCTGTGGGTCTCAGGATGCCGCACAGCGGGTCCCCGGGTCTGGGGACTGGCACGTACACACCTGGAACTCCCTCCCGCGTCTGACCCTGGCGTCCAGGTGGCAGGCCATCCGCTGTACCCCGCGATGAAGTGAGGCGCACAGAGGGGGCGGCACCCTTCGCGCGGGCCAGGCACAATCAGAGCCAATGCTGGGTCCTTCTCACCTTCCCCGCCCCTCCCGGGACCCCGCGAGGCTGGCACCTGGGTTACACCCAGACTCCCTCACCCCACTGTGTGGACCCCGCCAAGGGCCGGACCCCGGAGGGAGGCCACCTCAGGACAGGATGGGAAAAGGAGCCTTTGCTGCTGCCGCCGGAGAGGCACTTTCCCATCACACTCGGGTGCGTCTGCAGGCGCTGGGCCGCACGTTCCCGTGTGGACAGACGGCACTGCCCCAGTCACCTGGCTCTGGGGCCCCGGGCAGATTCGGCAGCTGCTCCTGGCTGAAAGTCCCCGGGTGGCAGCCGCGGGTACTCCAAGCTTCTCAGAGGATTGTCACCTGCTTGTCCTGCCTCTGGGCTCGATGACAACCTCCTGTTCGCTCTGTGACCACAGGCCGGCATGCCCTCTAAAGGATACGTGACTCAGTTTATCCTCTAAAGCATTCGGCTCCCAGGACTGGGAGGAGACCCTGGCTGAGCTCAGAGCAAACAGGGCTGTGCTCCTCGGTCCTGGCTCGCTGCCTGTATTAACGGCTTCCTGGCCACATCCATCTCGGTGGCCAATGGCTCCCCCTCCCCGGAAGTGTCACGGGCCTGTTCTCTGGGTCCGGGGGACCTCATCTTGAACTGGGACAGTGAGCCGCGGCCCTGCCGAGTGTCAATTTTCAGGGCCAAGCTTCTCCCAGCAGGTTCTCCCGTCCCAGACTGACCCCCACACGTGGTGAGCCTGCAGGTTTGGAGAGGGGACACCTAACACCTAGAGTATAGACCTCCTCCCGACAAAGCTACAGAACCTGTCCAGCCGGGCCACCCCACCTGCACCTTCCTAATCAATGAATGCCAGGTTGTAGCATGGAAGGTGCCCCCCGCCTCCCGGGAAGGCATGAGGCGCCTTCCTTGGAATTCCTAAATCGTAGTGGGGTTGGGGGACTGGGGCGGAGAGGTCACGCGAGAGGTCATTTGTGCAGCATCGGGGCTCAGCAGGATGCAGGGTGGCCCTCGCAGCCGCACGGCCGTGAGCGTGTCGGCGGACAGCCCTGAGCGCCAGCCACAGTGCCCTCCCTCTGAGACACGGACACAGTGACGCCAGCCTGGTGGGCAGGGAGGGGAGGCGCGGGCCGTGGCGGCGGGACGAGAACTGGCAGGGAGACTCGTGGGGCTGCAGAGGCACGGGTTCAGAGTTTTCTTGTCCCGGCGTCGGTGGAGATGTGTGCACTGGGGGACCCGTCAAGACCCCACCACCCTCCCAGGGACCAAGACAGGCGCCGGCTCCGTCCACACCAGGCCGTGGAGTCAGGGACTGGGGGGAGGGACTGTTCCCCGGCCCCCAGGAGGCTGCTGTCATTAGCCGGGGAGGTGGAGCCTCAGGCTGTGACGGTGATTCCCGATGGGAAGGCCATTGGAGAGATTCACACAGTCTTTTCCTTTCTTGTGTAGCAGATTTGGACAGAGGTGCTGGGTGAGGCGCAGGGGATGGAGAGCTCATTAGGCCTGTCCCCAAAGGTGTGGGGGGGGGGTTGCGGAGTGGGGGACTAAATAAATGAGTATGCTGCAGGAGGGTGCCAGGGATCGCATGCACAAAGTATCTTGTATGGATGAGGTGCTCTCACAATGGAGAAATCCGGGGAGGCTTCTCAGAGGAGGTGACCTTGCTCCGGACCCTGGGGTCTGGTAGAACCAATCACATTTTCTGCTCTCTGGGACGAATGACCAGCACTCGCTTCTCCTGAATGCTACGCATCACACAGCTAACTTGCCTCAAGAAATCATAGATCCCACTAGGCACGTTCCTTCATTTGGTCAAAAACTTTGAGTACCTCGTATGTGCTAAAAACTATCAGAGACGCTGGGGAGACAGCCGTGACCAGGGCAGGCGGCCTCCCGGCACGTGTGGGGCTCGCTTTGCGGGAAGGAGAAGCCGGCAAGGAAGAAATCACCAAGTGAACAAATACGTCCAGGAAGCGGCACGGGTTATAGAGGGAGAACCCCACGTGCCTCCGCCGAGGGCAGGAAGCCCCCCCAGGGCCTGCCCCATCGCTGCCTCCGGGAAGGGCATCGGAGGAGTCTCCCAGGGATGTTGTAACAAAGTTCCGAAAACTCCCGTGTCACACTTCGAGGGGCCAGGAGCCCGCGGCCACGGTGTGGACAGGCCATGGCCCCCTCTGGAGGCCCGAGGGGAGGACCCTTCCTGCCTGTCACAGCCCCTGGCAGCTGCGGACACTGCTTGGCTGGTGGCCCCGTTGCTCCAGGCTCTGCCTCCGGTCACGTGGCTTCTGTGTGTGTCTCTCTGTGTCTCCTCTTCTTACGAGGACGCCGTCATTGGATTTGAGGCCCACCCTAATCCAGTGTGACCTCATCTGAACCAGTTACACCCACAAAGACCCTCCTTCCTGATAAGGTCACATTCTGAGCCTCCAGGTGGACAGGAATTTGGGGGAGAGACTCTTGAGGCCTGACCTGCTCTTCTTGGGATTCCTAAATCCTAACAGGTGTCCTTTGAACTCAAGGATGGGAAGGAAGTGGCCCTCCAAGGGCGGGCTGCAGGTAGCCACCAGCCACATGCGGCGTTGAAACTGACATCCTTAACGCCAAATAGAATGCAGCATCCGGGTCCTTACTGCTGCCAGCCCCATCTCGGGCTCCGCCCTCATGCCCGCCCGTGACCTCCCTGTGTCCATGGGCAGACGCCGTGGCCCCTCTGCCTCATCCAGTCCCCCAGAGACATAGGCGTCCGTCAGCTGACCTAAACCACGGCGCAGAGGCCGAAGGAGGCCCGCTCCCCATCTTGGTGTTGTCCGCGGCCTGCAGGGGGCGGGAGGTGGGGGTGGGCTCTCTCACCAGCCCTGTGTCTCAGAGCTCCGGGCCACACCGCCTCGGCCCTGCTGCTGTGAGCTATCCCCAGGTTCCTGTGCAGGTGGCCCTATCCGCTCCCCCGCCCCAGACCCCCACCGCGACAGGGCGGAGGGGCGCCCGCTCTGGGGCACGTCGATTTCTCACACGGGCAGACCCCGGCCCCGCCGTCCCACGACCTTCTCCACGGAGTTCTGTTCAGTATTTGATGGGTGTGGGCTTGAGGCACAGGGGACAGAGGGGCGGGAGGGCTGGTGCCCTCCAGCCAGCCGAGCATCCCGCCCGCCCGGCTGCCCTCAGCTCCTCCCCAGATAACAAGAGCTGCTCACCACAGGCCCTACCGGGAGCTCCGGCTGGCGGGGTCGGCTCTTCCGGAAGGAAAGAGGCATCTACGGAGCCTCTTTCCAGAGGACCCTTCCGGGAGGCCGCGCGAGGAAGGCTCTGGATACCGTGCTACCGTTTCCCCAGGCCAGCCTTGCCGTGCTGGAGGAACGGGGCCTCTGTTCCCGGCTTTAATTTGTGTGTGGACCAACAGGCCCGCTCAGGGAGGGAAGGACACGCTGGCCAGGCCCCCTGACGGCGGGAGTTAGGGATCACTGCCGACGCGTGGACGTTTCCGGCCCCGTCCTTGCTTCCAGCAAACAGATACCCGGCACCTGCTGTGGACACCAGGGCCCCTCCGGGGGCCCCACGGAAGCTGCACGCGGCCGGGCAGTGCACACAGCACCGCTTCGTCCTCAAAACAGCCTGGGGTGGGAGAGCAGAAGGAGGGGTGCAGCAGTCGTGTTTCTTCCCAAGTGAGGGAGGCGAGGCTAGAGCGGCTCACGGTTCCTGGGGGCGGGGGGAGGTCTCAGGCCGCAGGTCAAAGAGCAGGAGAGAGGCTCTGCCCCAGGGGGCTGGGAGGTCACATGGGGCATGGGGGAGGGTGCCAGAGGCCTGGGGACGACCTGCCACACCCCAGACCTTACTGGAACCTCGAGCAGGGAAGGCTCCAGGTTCGATTTTTCTCTTTTTCTTTTTTAATGTTTATTTTTGAGAGACAGATGCAAGCAGGGGAGGGGCAGAGAGCGGGGGAGACACAGAATCCGAAGCAGGCGCCAGGCTCCGGGCTGTCAGCACAGAGCCCGACGCGGGGCTCGAGCCCACGAACCTCGGGATCATGACCTGAGCGGAAGTCGGACGCTTAACGGGAGGAGCCACCGGGCGCCCCAGGTTCGACCTTTTTCAAAATCCCAGGCGAGGCAGACGGAACACGTGTACGGGCCACGTCCAGCCTTAGGGCAGCTCTGGGCACCCCAGCCCCATGACAGCCAGCGCTGCCGGTCACAAGGACCTTGCTCTCCTCCCCTGAGAAACGGGAACGTGAGGGCTCCCTGGGTGGGGGCTCGTGCTGCCCTGAGGGAGGACGGTACCCCTGAAGTGCGTGTCTTCATCTGGTGCCTGCCCACCCCAGCCTGGCCCCCAGCCCTTCCAGGGGACACTCCGGGGACGCTCCTGAGCCAAGCGGAGGGGCTGTGCTCCACCCTGCCAGACGGAGCACAGGACACCCAGTTAGACCTGAGCTCCAGAAAAACAAGTCCTTTTTAGTGTAAGTATGTCCCGAATACCGCATGGGACATACTTATGCTAAGTTAGTCATTTGTCTGAAGTTCCAATTTAAGTGGGTGGTATGTCCGTATTTTTATTTGCTTTTTCTAACAACCCCACCCTGAAG